CGGGGGCTGGCCGAGGCGCGCGCGCGCGAGGGCGCTGAGGCCGCCGAGAAAGCGGGGTGCGTGGCGCTGCGCGACACGCTGGGCCCGGAGATGGAGACCTGGACGGCGGGAAAGCGAGATAACATCCGCGCGCTGCTCAGCACCATGCACACCGTGCTGTGGCCGGACAGCGGCTGGGAGCGGCCCTCCATCTCCGACATGGTGGAGGATGCCAAGGTGGGACGGTGTTTGTTATGGGGGGCGCATGGGCGGGTTGGCCTTGGGTGAAGAGGCTGAGGGTTGGGCTCTGGGCGAGCCCGCACGGAAAAATGCCCTGCACGTTGCTACCTTCCCTCGATTATCATACCACCGGCTGCTCTCCCTCCCCAGTGCCTCCCCTCCACCCCCAAAATCTCCCCCAGCCCCCTCAGGTGAAGCGCTGGTACATGAAGGCCAACCTGGTGGTGCACCCCGACAAGGTGCGGCAGAAGGGCGGGGTCGTGGAGGCTGTTGCGCGCGCAGACATGGTGTTCGACATCCTCAAGGCCGCCTGGGGAAAGTTTGAGGCCGCCCGTGCGCGGTGACGGGGGAGCGGGAGCCCCTGGCAGCCGAGGCATCGTGGAAGGAGCCGGCCTGCACTTGCTTTCATCCTCTCCCCGCCATCCCCACTCCACTGGGCATTGCTTGGTCGGTTGAACGAAAACATGATGATTGCAGTGCACCTTGCATGTGGCGCCAAACTGAGATGCGCCTGTCACCGGGGCAGGCGGCAGGGCAAGGAGGGAATGAGTGCGTGTGCGGCAGCGGCAGCATGGTACATGGGGGTGTGGGATTGACGGCAAGGGGATCGACTCGCAGCCGGGGAGCACGACTATCACGACCCGGCGTGGAGGCCAGCGCGCCTGGATTTCCCCTTCTGGGGCTCTCATCCTCCTTTCCGGTCGAAGCTTGGGCGCGAGCCTGCCTGGGTGGCATGCAGCGCCCAGCGACTCTTCCGACCTCTGCCTGCCTACGCCGTCTCCCCTGCCCGCTGGGCCGCCAGGGCGGCGATGGAGGCGGCCAGCTGCTCCCCCACCTCCTCGTCCTCCATGCTGTCCACCAACGCCTTGTCCAGGTCGTCAAAGTAGGGGTGCAGGAGGGCGTCCTTGGCCTGTAGGGTTGGTGGGTGTGTGAAGGGGGTGAGTGTGTGGCGATGATGTTGTGAGGACAGGGATCAAGGCAGGCGCTCGACGCAGGCGCTGCCCGGACCTGCTCTCTGCATGGAGGGTGCCCACACCATCCGGCGCCTCACCGTGATGCGCTTGACGGGGTCGTACTCGAACATGGCCTTCATCAGGTCCACGCCCGCCGGCTCCAGGCGCGGGAAGAGCTGTTGGTATGTGAGGATATGGATGAGGGTGGTTGGGGGTTAGGGGAGAACAGTGAGCCGTACGCATGCCATCGCCAGCCTGCAACGAACCACTGACCAGGTGATGCATGGGTTTCAGACCACGCCCCAGTCATCCCCGCATCATCGCCACGCCATGACAAGAAAGCAGGACTCTTGAGATCCCAGCCCTCACCAGGTCCAGGTCCTGCATCTTCCACTGCGGGAACTCGTGCCAGTCGCGCAGCTTGCCCACGCCCGGCCAGGTGGCCTCGCTGGGGGTGCCCAGCAGCTTGAAGATGTGCAGCAGCTGCTGCAGCTCGCTGTCGCCGGGGAAGATGGCTTGCTGCGCGGAGGGGTGGTGGTGGTGGGGTGGGGTGGGCTCTCGGGTGGCCAGCGCGGCTGGAGCATGCATGCCTGACCGGTGCTGCCGGTCCAAAGGCCGGTCTCCAGGAAAGTCGGGGCAGAGTGCGGTCCACACCACCAGGAGCGCGAAATCCCCCCGCCCCCCCCCGGTCCCGCCTCACCCCAACCTACCTCCCCACTACCCTCTCGCCTCCCTGTCCTCACCTTGCGGACCAGCTCGGCAAAGATGCAGGCGACGCTCCACATGTCCACCGCCGGCGCATAGCAGCTGATGCCCAGCAGTACCTCGGGGGCGCGGTACCACAGGGTCACGATCTCGTGCGTGTAGCACTTGATGGGGATGGAGAAGGCGCGGCCCAGGCCCAGGTCGGCCACCTTGAGCAGGGGATGGTCTGGATGGGGCCCTTCCTCCACCAGCAGGTTCTGGGGCTTCAGGTCGCGGTGCATGACACCATGTCGGTGCATGTGGGCTACACCCTTGAGCAGCTGGTACATCATGCTCTGTTGTTGGTGAATGGAGGGGGGGGAGGGGGGGGTCCCCATGAGAGGAGCACTCGGTGTGAAGGGCTAGGGGTCTGCCTGAATGTGTGGGTGCATTGCCCATGCTGTGCACCAGGCAGCAGGAGAGTGGGCACTCGAGCCAGCCCTTCCGCGTCAAACATCCATCAAACCACCCACCTTGATGACGACGAGCGAGAGGGGGAAGGAGGGCCCCTTCCCCAGGCGATCCATGTACTTTTTCAGGTCGGTGCTGCAGTACTCGAACACCTGCAGGGAGAGTGGGCGAGGGGCAAGGGCCGAGGTGGTCAGCAGGTGCATGCCCAGCAACCGCGCATGTCCAGGAGGACAGTGGACTGGGCGATGCATGCTTGAGTACATTCTTTGCAGGGCAGTCCAGCTCTTTCCCACTGCATGGCGGCCTTCGCACCAGGTAGAGGCAGGGCTTGTTGTTCTCCTCGATGTGCTCTACATCCAGTAGCCTGTTGGGGAGTTGGGGACCGAGGAACACATTTCTTCCTCCCTTCCGCCTCCTCCACCAGCAGGCCCAGGACAGGAGCACACAGGCACCCGCATGCCCCTGAGAGCTTCCTACCTCACGATGTGGTTGCTCTTGGAGAGCATGAGGAGCAGGGAGATCTCACGCAGGGCGGTGGATGGCACACCTTCCTCCTCCATCTGTGGGGATCAGGATGGCCCGAAGTCCTTTGCAGACAGACGTAAGATACTACCTGCCGGGTTACCCCCTGCCCTTGCTGAATGAAAAGTTTCCCGGGCACGTACCTCGAGTCGGGTCTTCTTCAGAGCAACCAGCCGATTGGTGGTGCGGTCCTTGGCCTTGTACACCTTGCCATAGGTCCCTTCCCCGATCTTTTCGAGCTTGATATAGTTGTCCTGCACCATTGGATTAGATGGGATGTCGCTGATCGAGCCTGATTCGCAACTTGGCCCACATGCGGGGCCGGGTTCGAAGACGCACCATCGTTCTGGACGCAGGCCGCAGGGGCAGGTTCCAGTCGCGGAGATCCTCTCTGAGCCTTTGTAGATCTTTCTGCTGATGGCGCACCGAGAACAAGACGATTCTCGGTCTCTGAGGGCTTGAACGCGTTGCGATAGCTGTTCGTGCCGGCGAGCAGGGCACCTGTTGCCTTGAAACATCAAATCCCTGGGACAATCGAATGCCGGCTCCCGCTCAACAAAACTCCGGTACACAAACCATGCTGTCTGGGGAGTTAAACAGATGGGCTCTGTCTTGAAGTGCACCCACACATGATCCCGGCAGTCTTAATAAGACGCCCATCTTATCATGCATGCCCTGTATTATTTCAGCTCCCTCCATGGGTCTTCCTGTACAGCCCGTCACAAGTCCATCTCTGACCCTCTTTCGCCGTGCCTGTGCAGCCAAATTGATAATAACCTATAACATAACCCGAAGGCATCTGCAGATTGACAATCGACGGAGGTTGGCTGGGTGGGCTGGTGACAGTTGGGGAGTGCACTGCCACCTGAACCACCTGTGGCGACCCATTCCAATCATCAACCCTCAAATCGGCTCAGGAAAAGCTTTCTGTAGCATCATACCATCTGTTGAAGGTACTGAGCGGCAAATGGTGTCCAGAGAATCTCTGGTTAGACTTGCCGCTGTCACATTTGAGATATTCATGCAGTTTGAAAGATTCCTGGATCAATCAGATGCCTCCTATTGGTCCCAGGAGGGCCATTGTCCCTCTGCCGCCCCCCTTGAGCCGGCCCGCCAATACCACCGACCGTCTTCAGCACCGGTATATCCATTCCGAAGGATGGGAGCATTGGTCGAAGCCTCCTGAGCCCTGCCTGCCCCTGTTCCGGCCTAGCCGGTAAGGCTGGCGGGAGAACCTAGAGTGTGCCCTAAGGCCTGCTGCAGTGCCCTTTACCCTCGCAGTCAATCTCAGAGACAACCAGGGAGAGGTATCGTGGATAGTGCGCCCCTGAAGCCCTGATTTGTGCGAGCCCAAGCCCTGGCGATGGAGCAGTACCCAGATCACGAGTGAGTCAGGGTCGCACCCACGTTCATCCCTGACACCCGTATGGATGCGATGCACTCGATCATGATGCAACAAATGCGTGCAAGTACTACCGCCACGCCCCGGTGCGCAAAACCTTACCACCCCCGCTGTCCTCTCCCCGCGCAACCAGTGGCCCTCAGTTCCGGGGCCTCCCATCCGGCACGGCCATGGCTCCGCCGCCCCCACCTGGCGATTTCATGGGGGGCCACTACCCTGTGACGGAATTGCGTCGCAATGCCTCGGTCCCCTCCATGGGGCTGCCCCGCCAGATGCCCAGGTCCATCAGCATGTGCCTGCCGCCCGGCAAGCGCGCCTTTGCCGCCGAGACGGAGGGGGTGCAGAGTTGGGACGAGTACCAGTCCATCCGCGACGCACAGGCCGCGCGCAGGCCTGCAGCCCGGCGATGCCTGGAGAACACCCTGGAGATCGCGGCCAGGGCGCGCTCCTTCCCCCTCACACGCGGATACTCCAGGAGAGGTGAGACCAGCCGCCGGCAGGGGCTGCTGGGGTTGATTCAATGCATGCATGGGGCCCTTGGTGCTCAAATGGTACGCTCAGGTCTGCAACGATCGAGAAGGCAGACCTGAGCTCATTGGGCATGCCATGGGTCCTCTTCAAAAAACCCAAGGCCGCTCTGCTGCCTACTATGTGTCCAACCCCCTGCATGCCCTGCCAGCACCACAGCGCCGTCACCGCTTCCAACTACGCACTTTTCAACTCCCCAGGGTCCCTGGACGCCCTCAACCTGCCCCCTTGCGCCAGACGGCTGGAGCCCGCCTTTGCGCCGGTGCAGCCCGAGGAGAGGGACCTCAAGCTCGTCCCCCTCCAACACCTCCTCCTCTCCCCCGCCGCCGCCGCCCTTTCCACCCTGGACGTCAAGGCCATCATCTGCAAGGTGGGGCCCCCTGGGCGTGTGTTTGGCCCCTCACAGTCGCACTCTGGGCCAGGCGGGGTGCAGGTGTGTCGGCTTGCTTCAAGCCACCTGAGTCTCTGTTCCCCGCAGCTTCACAAGTATCCCCTCCTTTCCTCCCCGCAGATCGCGCTGGACCTGGACGCGCTGCACGCCCAGCGCTCGCTGCACCGCCACGTCAGCGTGGCCTGCATCGCCGTCCCCGCCACGGGCCACCTCCCTGCCTCGCGCCTGCTGCCGCACGGCGCCAACATCCGGTGCGAGGGCGGCGGCGGCACCGCCACCTGCCCCGTCGCATTCCAGGGCATGGAGCCGTACCTGGCACCCGAGCTGGCCATGGTGGCCGCCGGGGACGATGCGCGCTCGCCCGCCATGCACACCCCGGCCTGTGAGTGGAGGGGTCCTGGGCTGCTGCAACCCTCCTTGGGATTGTGACTGGGATGGCGGGGCCTTGGGTCAATGGTGCACCCCCAAGCGCGCCAGGCTCGAGGCCTGGCTGTGTGCATGTTCCGCCGTAGAGTCCCATGCGGAACCCCCACTCAACCCCTTGCCACAGGTGACATGTGGAGCCTGGGCGTCGTCCTGTTTGTCATGCTGAGCGGCAGCCACGTGCCATTTGGGAACCGTGGCCTGGGCCAGACCAGCATCCCCAACATGCCGGGACGGGGGGAAAGCGTGGACGCCTTGCAGTCCTGGCTCCAGGTAGAAGGGAGTTGAGGGAGCTGGGGACGGGATGTCTGTGGTTTCTTCCGAGAGGCCGTGCCATGTGATGGGTGGCGAGGGTGCGGGCACTGCGGGCAGCCTGTTTGGGACCACGGGTCTGTGGATGTGTAGGACCTCAATTAGATAAATGACGTGCAGCGTAGCTGTCCTCGCCTGTACATCCCAGACCCCTTCCCACGTCCCTGTCCACCGCACCTCCATCAGGACCCCCCCCCCCACACACACATGCTCCACAGGAGCACCTGGAGTGCAAGATGGGCGTGGTCAACGCCATGGCCAGGGCCGGCAGCGACACGGCGGCCTGCCGCGACATGCGCGTGCTGGGGTTCGACCCCGGCGCCGTGGACGTCGTGCTTGGCCTGCTCCGCGCCGACCCCGCCCAGCGCCTCTCGGCGCACGCCGTGGCGCGCCACGGCTGGCTCGCCGAGGTGGCGGCCGAGGTGGGCGCCGCCGCATGCGCGGGCCGGCGCCCAGACGCCCCGCGGCCGGACGCCCGCTCCCGCCGGGCGTCGCCGGACCTGGCGCAGGGGGCGAGCGCCCCGGAGGCCGCGGGCCCTTCCTGGCGGGGGGCGCGCCGCGCACCCGTCAACATCGCCTGCGCCGAGGGTGCGGGGTCCCGTCCCGCCGTCGCCGCGTCGTGGCACCCTGGCTCTGCGCCCCCGGCCTACAGCCTGCAGGACGCCTGGCCGCCGGGGGCCGGCCCACGTCCCGCCCCGGCCTGGCCCAAGTCCGAGGCCCTGCCGGTGGGGGCGCCCACGCTGCCGACCTCCCTCAGCCCTCACACGCCCGACACGGTGCTGGGGTGAGCGCCTGGGCTCGGCGGAGAGGGGGACCTTGAGCCGCCGAGTTGAGGGGGGCATGGACGACCAGCCGCAGGGGCCGACTGGCTGTGGCAAGGGGAGGAGGGGTGGTCGCTGCAGGAGAGGGCAGGCAGGGGAGCCTCCTGCGCTGTGGCCTGCTGGCGTGAGGTCGCCGGGCCGCGTCTCCCCGCGGTGCACACTCTGACGCGCCGGCGCCGCCAGATCCGCAACCCACGTCGGCAAGACCCCCACCCTCTCCCCCTCCGCAGGCCCGGCCCGCTGCAGTCCGCCACCTGGCGCCGCCCCGAGGCCGGCCCGGTGCCCGACGCCCAGGGCCTTCCGCCCACCCCGCCGATCCCCCCGGCCCAGCCGCCGCCGCCGGCACTGAGCGCCACGCACGCCTCGCCCGACCCCCTGCCGCCCATCGCCCCGGGCACCCTGGGCTGGCTGGCCCGGCCCACCTGCACGGGCCCCTGCCCTGCGCTGGCCACGCTGCACCCGGTGGTCCTGCTGGGTGCCGGGCCGCAGGTGGGGACGCAGCCCGTGGGCCTGACCCGGCTCCCGCCAGACCCGGGCTCCTGCACGCTGCTGGCAGACGGCAGCTGGTGGATCCCGGTGCCCGTCGCGGCGGCGTGCCAGCGGCTGCCGACCTCCGCCTGAGACCCCGGGCTCGGGCGGGGCAGGCCGGGCGGCTGCGCGCCGCGGCGGCGCCGGCTGCGCGCGGCTGGGCCGCGAGCCCGGCATCCAGGGCCACCCACAGACTCCGATGAGCGTCGACAGTCCCTCTTCCCCCCCCCCATCACGCAAGAACGGCCTGGTGAGGAGCCCGAGGCTTCCCATTCAAGCACAGCCCGGGCACCCCGGACATCAACTCCAAACCGTTTCACTGTCAGCCCCGAATGCCGCCCGATCCTCCATTGAATTCTTTGTTGCTCTGTCCGGGAGGACCCTGCGACGCCGCTCGCGGGTGCACCCTCCGAGCACCTCCCCCCGCTGTCACGGGGAGGTGCCGGACGGCACGATTGTTGCAGCACCGAGCCCCACGAGCGAGATGGCAGGAGCGGGAGCGGTTGCCAGCATGCACAGGCCACAGCGCTTCCCTCCGCCCCTCCACCGAGTGTACCCTACTTTTCCACCCTCCCTCTGCATCCACGGCACCATGCACTGATACATCTTTTCTCCTTCCTGTCTTCTCCCCTCTCCTCGAGCGTGCAGACCGACAGCCAGCGGGCCCAGAGACTCCCTGAATAACAGGGACCCGGGCCCGGCACACCTTCGCCAGGCTCTTCCCTCTTTCACTCTTGAGATGTGTAGGCAATACATGCAGTAGTGTGGCATGTAAGTATCGCAGCGTTACCCTGGGACCCGTCCAGGAATGGGAGGGGAGGCTTGCAGGGGTCAGCGCCGGCCCGGGATCACCTCGCGCCTGGCATAGCGGTCCCTGCTCCGGCTGCGCGGCCGCGACTCGCGCCGCGCTTCACGGCTCCGACTGCGGTGGCGGCGCTTCCGCGCGGGGGAGTCGTCATGTCGGCTGCGGCTGCGGTGGCGGCGCTTCCTCTCCGGCGATTCGCCACGGCTGCGGCTGCGGTGGCGGTGCTTCCGCGCGGGGGAGTCGTCGTCTCGGCTGCGGCTGCGGTGGCGCCGACCCTGCACAGACGAGTCGACGCGGCGGGCTATCGATTTCTCGTGCGGCGAGCGCCCACGCTCATCGCGGGAGTGCCGCCCATGCCGGGACGGAGATGCGGCGTCCCTACTCCTCCCCTCCTCTTTGATCGTGCGCGCTCCTGGCTCTGCTGGATCATCTGCCTCACCCGCGGCAGGGCCATCGGTCCTGGCACTGCCGCGATGAGGGTCGCGCTCAGGCATAGCCCCAGCCCCACACTGTAGAGCGGAAGGAGGGTCGCGGTCCCTTCCCGCCTCTGATGCACTACCGCCGTCGTCGCGGCTGGCGCCGTCGTCGGCGGGTGCATCGACCCCGTTCTGCCCCGGGGTGGCCGCCTCTGCACCTCCAGCCACAGCGCCATCTGGTGCATCCACATGTCCCAGCGCCCTCAGCATGGCGCTGATGTGGGCGTACTGCTTCTTGGTGTCCTCTGGGGCACCTGCATCGCAGAAAGTAGCGTCCGCTGCTGAAATCTGGTTGAGAGCATTCATAAGGAAGGGCATGGGCAGCCGCCAGGGACCAGCGCTGGCCAGTGGCACGCTCCGCGACAGGCTCATCCGCCCCTCTCCCAGGATTCCGGAGCCCACGACGTGGACACCGCGGTGGCATGCCACCAAATCGTGCCCCCAGAACACACTTACCATCCCCTCCCAGGGCGCTGCGACGGCCCAGCAGCACCCTGCGCACGGCCGCCAGCGAGTGCGACTTCTGGTGCAGCAGCATGAGCACCCGCTTCCTCAGCGCCTCCTCCTGGAGCAGCCAGAGAGAGCCCAGCACCAGCGCAGCCTGAAGGGGTAGGTGGAAAGCATGGCAGTATGGAGACACAAAGGTACAAGGCTCGAGGGTCGCTCCCTTTGCCAGAACAGTGGGGCGAGAACCCGGGCGTCCTCCATCCCCTCTGCCACACAGGACCATTCATAGACCCATTCCACGTCCTCCCTTCCACCCTCCACCTGCTGCAAAGTGAACAGCCCGGCCTCCATGCGTGCCAGAAGGAGTTCGTCCTCGTCCATCGCCTCCAAGACCTGAGCAGAGGCGAGCCTGTCAGGGGGGAGAACCGCACAGCCGGTGAGGAGTTGAGGGCCGGTCGGCCGCATGGGCCTCCCCACTTCATGTCTAGGAACGGAGCGAGCAGCTTCAACACCCTGCCCTCCCCCATTCCCCCAAGCCCACCTTTCTTCCCCAGCCGCCACACGCTGCTCGTATCTTAGGTACACCTCCACCAGCCGGTCCACCTTCTCAAACTCGTTCTCCACAAACTTGCTGGCCACCCGGTCCCTCCGGGACGAGGTCGGCAGCATCTGCCAGGGATCGGTTGGAGAACGGAGTGGGTTGGGGGAGCACTGGGCCTGCATTGCCGTTGAACTCTTCAGAAAATGCTTGCCTTTGCGGCCTGCACCCCAAGCCACACCCCCCGCCCCACCTGGAACAGGTTTGTGATGATGGACACCGACCGCTCCTCCTCCTCCTGCCGATCCACCTCATCCGCCTTCTTTGCCTGCGTGCGGAGGGAGGTGTGTGGCGGGTCAGCATGCCAGGAGCCATCCTCTGGTTCCCATCGAGGTTCTGGCCTACAACTTCCCACTCCTCCAGGCTTCCACCAGGCAACCTGCACAGAACACTGCTGACCCCAGTCAACGCCACTCCCCGTCCACCACGGCCACCGTACACCGACATGCCTTGATCTTGCCCATGAAGATGCCGAAGAGGGACTTGAGGCCGCCGGCGTCCACCAGCCTCTCGCAGGCGGGCTGGGAGTTGGTGGTGGCAAAGTCGATGCAGCGCAGGGTGGCCACTCTGGCAGCGCTGTTGCCCCTCAGGATGAGCAGCATCAGTTCGATGCCTGCAGGACGAGAGGGAGAAAGTGGTGGGGATCAGGATGGTGCATGGAGGGGTGGTGGGGCTGCCTCGAATTCCACCGGGAGCAGCAATGCCTCGCCATCTCGACACGACCCCAGGGTCGCATGCGTGGCCAGGGGCGGGGCGGCCCGCTCGGAAGTGGAGCAGTGAGCGAGATACTCTGGGGCCTCCCAGGATACACTGATCTTCACGATCCCCACACGATCTCCAGACACCACCCTGGCTCCGCACATTCACCCTTGAAATGCCATCGCCAAGCGGCCAGCCCTCTCCGCTTCCCACCACCACCTGCTTAACTTGAACACCCAACCCAGTTCTTTCCCTTCCCCACCCCTCCTTTCCCATACACACCACACACACCTTCCCCCTCGACAAACGCGCGCTGGCCGGCGGAGAGGGCGAGCAGGGCGCAGAGTGCGGTCACCAGGTTCTCCAGGTAGTCCTGCTCCTCGCCCTCCTCTGCCGCGCGCGCTCTGTACGGCGCTGCGGCCTGCAGCAGCGCGTCCACGCCGCCACCGGCGACCAGCGCCTCGCGCGGCTCGCCCCCCGCCTGCACCAGGATGCCCAGCAGCTCGGCGGCGGCGGCGCGCACCGCGTCGTCGCCCGCGCGCGCGCGCACGCGGCGCAGCAGCCACGGCAGCAGCCCCGGCGCGCGCAGGATGGGGGCCGCCAGGCCGGGGTCCACCTCCACCAGCCCCTCCAGAACGCCCAGCGCGCTATGCACGGCCTGTGCCTCCTCGGGCACGCCCTCGTCAAAGGCGGGCAGGCGGTGCGCCAGCGCCGCCAGCAGCCCGGCCGAGGCCAGCGCCGCCGCCAGCGCGCGCCCCTCCTCCCGCGCCTCGTCCACCGCGTCCTCAGAGGTCAGCTCTGCCAGCAGCTCCATGACCGCCGCCGCAATGTCGGCGTTGTCGTGGTGCAACAGGGGGAGCAGGGTCTCCAGTGCGCCGCTGGCGATCAGCTCCGGGTACAGCTCGGGCGTGCTGGCCACCACCTAGGGAAAGGAGAAATTGGTCGGGGGGTTGGGAGGTGAGGGAGGGTGTGAAGATGAGGGCATGCAATGTGGCGGGCGCATTTGATCTCTCCTGCGTCCCCGGCACTGACATATTCGATGAGCCTTACGCCACACGGCCACATTTCCTCCCTCTCCCCCATTCCAACCCACCCTCAGGGCGTTCACGGCCTCGTCAAGCTCCACCTCCGACTCCAGGAACTTCTCCGGCTGGTCTGCAAAGCGCGTGCGCTGCTCTAGATTCTGGGTGGCCTGCGATTGTCAAGTTATTCGTGGCAGAATGTGCTGAGTGCGAAAGGAAGGGCTGATGCAGGCGGGGCATGCACCGCCGAGTGTGCAGCGGAGTATTCGGCCAACAGCCGCACGACTCTAGCACAAGGTGCCAAAACAAACAGCTTGAACATCAGACAGACGTGATGGCCGCTCCACTGGCCCCAGGCATCCCCCCCGACCCGACCCCCCCACCCCCTCCAAAGGGACCTTGCGCTCCAGAGCCAGCACCAGGCGCCTGAGCCCTTTGGCGTCCACTATGCCGATGTCGCTCGGCCCCGCCGCCTCCTCCGCCTCACGCAACAGCTCCTCCGCATCCCGCGCCCTGACTCGTGGGGGAGGGGGCGGCATCGAGGAGGGGCCCGGGCCGGCTCCGTCTGAGCCCGTATTTCCCCCGCCCGGATGGGACTGGTCATCGCGGTAGTATCTGCAGGGGTGGTTGAGATGAGAGTGGTCAAAACATTACTGCGACCCAGGGAACGGGGTGCCGATGGGGATCACGAACCGCAAGGCCAAAATGTAGCAAGCCTCCACTGGCACCTGACAGTCAATTCCCTGCGCACCCTGTGCCCTGGGCACCCTTGCTGAAATAGTATCCGTGCTTTGGTCCACTCCAGGAGGCGGAAGGGATGAATGGGTCTGTTTGGGGCACAGCATCCCCTTCAAAATCCCGCAAGGCTTGCTGTGTGTGACATGGAGGGAGAGGAGCCCCATGTTGCGATGGGACAAGTGGCAAGGAAGCGCTGCACCAGGTCTGAAAGATAAAAATCAGCCAGTATCCTAGGATCAAGCCTGCATGCAGCCACTGATCACCTGGAGAATTGCCGTGGGAGCGGAAGGTCTTGCCCCTGACATCTTCACGGGCTCAATGTGGAAAGGGGCTCAGAAAAGACGACACATCTGAGTAGGTCCTAGGCTGATGACAGTTCACTCCACTCGAACAGTGCTTATGAGGATGAGTCAGATCGGATTGGCAAGGCACTTGCTCGTGGTTCCTGAAATGCGATCGAGTGCGCTGTCAAGGTGCAGTACCGGTGGTAGCCTCCCCCAGTGAGGTGCTCAGTGTCGGGTAAAACCTTTCTCGGGCACTCCGCCGCGAGCCACAACCACCCCGATCACTTTGCACCATCTCTGACATCATCCGCATCATCCGCCTACCATGCCTTTCGCTGTGCGCAAGCCCGACGCCGCGGCTGCAACCGCGGAACTCCGCCGCAACCTGACTCTCTTCGGAGCCGCGGTCGTGGCCGTCCGTGCCGCGCCCTACATTTTCGCCCTGTTTCAGAGCAAGGCTTGAGGCGGAGGCGGCCTGATTGCAGGAGTGAGTGTCGTGAAAGTTGTCCGTGGGTCTCGAGTCGTGTCGCGCGCTTGGCTCAGGTGGAGGGTTAATGACCTGTCTTCGCATCGATCGATGCCCTGCGATCCTTGCCAAGTGGCTGTGGCATCCGCTCGGCTTCGTCTTCGAGCGGAGTCAGATCCGATGCCCACCTCCTGCGGCCCTGGGTCCAACATTGTTACCATGGATCGGGAGTGAGTCTGGCAAGGCCATGTTGCTCAGGGTCCCTTCCCTTACACCCTCCCTCCCCCCTCCTCCCCTCCCCACGCGCCCAGTGTGTGGCATCTTCGGGTACTACAACTACCAGGTGCCCCGCACCCGGCTGGAGATCCTGCACCTCCTGCTGACGGGGCTGCAGCGGCAGGAGTACCGCGGCTATGACTCCGCCGGCCTGGCCATCGACGCGGTGCCCATGGCCCCGGACGCGGCCCCCAATGCCCCCGCGCCCCCCGCCCTGGTGGTCAAGGGCCCCGGCAAGATCGTAGACCTTGAGGCGCTCGTCTCCCGCGAGATGGCGGCGGGTGGGCACGACCCGGCCTCGCGCTTCGAGGTGCACGCCGGCATCGCGCATACGCGTTGGGCAACGCACGGCGTGCCCAGCACCGCCAACTCCCACCCGCACGCCTCCAACGCCGCCGGCGACTTCCTGGCGGTGCACAACGGCATCATCACCAACTACAAGGCCCTGCGCGGCTTCCTGCAGGGCCACGGCGAGGTGTTTGCCACCGAGACCGACACCGAGGTGGTGCCCAAGCTGTGCGCCTACATCTACCGCACCGCGCGGGGCGCGGGCGGCGCCCCCCCTGCCCTGGGCGAGGTGGTGTGCCAGGCCATGCGCATGCTGGAGGGCGCCTACGGCCTGCTGGTGAAGTCGCGGCACCACCCGGGCAGCCTCGTGGCCTGCAAGCGCGGGTCGCCCCTCATCCTGGGCCTGCGTGGCAGCCCCGGCTGCGTCAGCGTCGCCAGCCCCGCCAAGGGTGGCGAGGCCACGCGGGGTGCGGTCGCCGCGTGCGCGCCGGGCGCCCGCCCCGGCGCCTGGGAGTGCTTTGTGGCCTCCGACGCGGCGGCGGTGGTGGAGCACACCAAGCGCGTGATCGTGCTGGAGGACAACGACCTGGCCCACATCTGGGCTGGCGGGTACGAGATCCTGAACGCGGAGCGGGAGGGCGACGGGGATGGGATCGAGGCCCCCCGCCCCGTGCCCCGCAGCCTGCAGACGCTGGAGATGGAGGTCAGCCAGATCATGAAGGTGGGAAGGCGTGGTGTGCATGGGGTGTGTTAAGGAGGGGGTAGGTCGAGGACAGACGGGGCCCCTCTGTCATACCAGGAAGGGCCCCATACTGCGCCGTGGCGATGATGAATTCATCACAAACAAGTAGATAGAGACAACTGAGACCTCGTGTCACGTCGTGATGTGAACACACCGTGGGAATCTCTCTGAGCCACGCATGCACGCGCCCCTTTGTTTCCTGTGGTACGGGTGTTGCAAGTGCGACGGGGGGGGGGGCACCCCCTCCATTTCTCGGACCGAGTTGGACGATCATGCAGTACGACCAGGAACCTTGGCAACCTTTTCCAACCACAACTCACAGGGCGGATACGATCACTTCATGCAAAAGGAGATCCACGAACAGCCGGAGAGTGTGCTGCAGACGATGCGGGGGCGTGTGAAGTTTGAGCGCTCCTCGTCAGAGGTGCGTGGTTGTGGTTTCTTTTTTTGTGGGGGGGCCGGCGTCGGTGGCGGGGAGGGGGTGAGGATGGCCAGCCTGCGCTACATGTTCACCTACATTGAAACCATCCCATTCACCAATGCCTCCCCTCCCGCCCACTGGCAGACGGACCGTTACCGCGAGCGCCGCATCAAGCTGGGCGGGCTGACGGAGTGGCTGGACACCATCCGCACCGGCCGGCGCATCATCTTCGTGGGCTGCGGCACGTCCTACCACGCCTGCCTGGCCGCGCGCCAGACGGTGGAGGAGCTGGTGGAGGTCCCCGTCGCGCTAGAGCTGGCCTCGGACCTGCTGGACCGGCGCGCGCCCATCTTCCGGGACGACACCTGCGTCTTCGTCAGCCAGAGCGGGGAGACGGCCGACACGCTGCAGGCGCTGGAGTACGCCAAGTCGCGCGGCGCGCTGTGCGTGGGCCTGACCAACACGGTGGGCTCCTCCATCGCGCGCGCCACGCACTGCGGTGTGCACGTGAATGCTGGGTGCGAGGTTGGCGTGGCATCCACCAAGGCCTACACCAGCCAGGTGGTGGCGGTGACCATGGTGGCCCTGGCGCTGAGCGAGGACAGCATCGCCAAGCGCGACGCGCGCGACGCCGTGATCGACTCGCTGGGCGCGCTGCCGGGCGCGCTGCGCCGCGCGCTGGCGCTGGACCCCGAGCTGGCGCGCCTGGCGGGCCGGCTGGCGGGCGAGACCTCGCTGCTCCTATTCGGCCGCGGCTACAACTACGCGACGGCGCTGGAGGGCGCGCTCAAGGTGAAGGAGGTGGCGCTGATGCACAGCGAGGGCCTGCTGGCGGGGGAGATGAAGCACGGCCCACTGGCCCTGGTGGACGAGAGCCTGCCGGTGATCGTGCTGGCCACGCGCGACGCGATGCACGCCAAGATGCTGAGCGTGATCGCGCAGCTGCGCGCGCGCCGCGCGCGGCTGATCGTCGTCGCCTGCGAAGGCGACGCCGAGGTGGAGGAGGCCTGCGGGGTTGGTGGGGGGGGGGAGGGGGGATGGACCAGGGGCAAACGGGGCGGCGCGGGCGCGAACGGCCACGCCGCCCACGGTGCAGGCCCCTCCCCATCCACCGACCCCCTCCCATCCACCGACCCCTCCCCGTCCACCGACCCCTCCCCGTCCCACCGACCCCACTGACCCCACCACCACCACCGCGCCATCCCTGCGCCCGAGCACGCTGATCCGCGTGCCGCGGGTTGCAGACTGCCTGCAGCCCATCGTCAACGTGGTCCCGCTCCAGCTGCTGGCCTACCACCTCACCCTCCTGCGCGGGCACAACGTGGACCAGCCGCGCAACCTGGCCAAGTCGGTGACGGTGTCCGAGGAGGACGGTAGCCTGAACTGCAGCCGCGGGAAGCGCGGAAAGGCCGTGCCCAACGGCTTTGGTGCGCGCTGAGGGCGGGGACTCATCTTGGTGCCAGAGTCGGGGGGGGAGCTTTCGGGGCATCGGGCATGGAGTTCCCGTGCTAGAGCCTTCGGTGTCTCGCTCCAGGGAAGACGGCGAAAGCCAAACACGTCTCACTAGGACCCCCCACATCAAGCCCTTGCTGTGTGACGCACTGAGCAATTGTTGAAAGCAAGAGAAATTGTACACACAGTTTTCGGTTTTGCAAGGCTTGAGGCGGGAATGCACCGCCGAAAACACAGGGGGACTCGCTCGCTCGCGCGCTCCTGAGGGGGGAACAGACAGATGGACAGGGAATACGACGCAGCGTGGCTAGAACTGGACTAACGCCCGGCGCTGGCGGGTCAATCTAGGTGCTAGATCGTCCAGTCCAGGATGAAATCGGCAATCCTGCGAGGGAGTCAAGTGGGAAATGACGCGGCAGCGATTGGGCGGCGCCTGCTGCACGGTGAGGCCTCCAGACGCAAGCACACAAGATCGCCTCCTACTTACTGCTCCATGGATGCCCTGGGAAGCACTGAGGAGTCCAGCTGCTTAATGATCTTGGCCGGCACGCCGACTGTGGAGGGCGTGGTGAGGGGGTGGGGGGAGGATCGGCTGTGCCAAGTTCCTACAAATAGAACAAGACACAGCTGATCGCCTTTTGATCGGCAGCTTCGACCGCTGAGAGAGCGACACGAAAGGAGCACACCTGCCACAGTGGAGGGCGGCAGGTCTGTGAGGACGACGGAGCCGGCCCCAATCTTGCAGTTGGCGCCCACGATGATGGGCCCGAGGACCGAGACCCCGGCGCCCAATAGCGTCCCGTTGCCTGGAGGTGAAAAGGGGGGGGGGGAAAGGGGCAGAAGAGGTGTCGTTTGAACAGTAACAATTGTGAACAGGGGCAGGGCCGTGACTGGACCCTGCACCGCACTGGCTACCGCAGAAACCAACACTCCGCTGGCCGACCCCTGCAACACTGGGTCTTCCCCTACGAGACTCCAGCTCCACCACTGCGCCACTCTATCGTCCTCACCCTGCACCTCCCACGGCCCCACCCCCCCCGGCTCACCTATGGTGGGGTGCCGTCTGCCGCGCCCCGTCCCCGACCCCCCCAGAGTCACATGGTGCAGCATGGACACGTTGTCGCCCACCACCGCCGTCTCGCCGATGACAATGCCCGTGGCGTGGTCGAAGAGGAGGCCCTGGCCCAGCCGGGCGGCGGGGTGGATGTCCACGGTGAACACCTCGGCCATGCGGCTCTGGATGGCCAGGGCCAGGGTGTGCCGCCCCTTCTTCCACAGCCAGTGGCCCAGGCGGTAGCTCTGCACCGCCTGGAAGCCCTTGTAGAAGAGCAGGCACTGGACATAGGTGTCGCAGGCGGGGTCGCGCTCCATGACGGCGTGCAGGTCTGCCACGCCAGACGCCAGCAGGCCCGCGTCGTCGGCGTAGGCGTCCATGAAGAGGTGCACCAGCTGGGTGCCCAGCAGCGTCTCGTTGGCCAGCTTGTTGGAAAGCAGAAACGCCAGCGACTTGGACAGGCTGGGGTGCGTCACCACCGTCATCCCCAGCTGGAGGAAGAAAGGGGAGATGGGAAGGAAGTGGGGGAGTGCTGAGGACAGAGGGCCGAGGAGAGAGGGCTGGGGGAGAGGGAGCCGCTGCAGGGAGGTCTGGTGCGGGAGCAGGCGTGAACAAAAACAGGCCGCAGATATCCCGGGTTCCTAGGAGAGAGGCTGGAGTGGACACAGGCCCCTCATCAGCAGCCCGTCTCGCCGCACGCTTGCCACGCGTGGCAAACACCCCATGTGCAGCCCCATTGATGACGCACCATCCACAACACACCTTGCTGGCGATGAGGGGCTCGGACTTTGACAGCTCGGCGGCCTCCTCCTGGATCTTGGCCCACAGGGTGTCGGCATTCAGGTCCTGGGCGGAGTCCCTGCCCCCTGCGAGCGCTGCCTGCCGGTCGCCCTCCCGAGCCGACACTGCAGGGCTTGTAGGGAGCCGGGCATGCAGGACCAGGGGAGCGGGCGCTGGCAGGGTTGCAGGGTGCAACCACCCAGCGTCAAGCGCCACCCTCCCGCGATCCACAGACATGATTCACCTCCCCCTTCCCGTCCACGAGGGCAGCAGCCAGAACCTAAGGCCCCCCCCTCGACCCCACTCACGGGAGGTCAGGGCCAGGCTGGATGAGGATTCGCCCGCTTCGAGGTGACTCCGCCACACCCGTTCGTTGAAGCTGGGCATAGGGGAGGTGGTGTCATTCGTTCCAGTCTTTTTTGCAATGTCCATGCCCGCCGGCCCTAAGCAAGCCCGAGCCCCGGTGGTGGGGAAGCGGGCGGTCTGGGTCACCAGGGGGTGCACGCCGGGAGCTGGGCCCAAGGAGCGCCCACCCACTAGCATGCCCGCATGTGCGCTGCACAGGGAGGGCAGTGAGGCAATAAAGTGGGATGTATGGTCACGCACACCGCTCCAGGGGATGAATTGCTGGCCTAGCCCACCTTCACGGACCAGCAGGCGTCGAGGGGTGCACGGCCAAGAAGAGGCCACGCACGCACCCAGCGTCAGTGCGTTGCGTTTCGTCTCACCCACTCGTGTTGTGTCGCCTGGTCTCCCACGGCGCGACAGGGTCGTAGTCACGTCCCGTACAGCGGGCCCGTCCTCCGACTGGTCCACGGGGCTCTGTCAGCAATTGCTGGTACGTGGTGGTGCCCTCCAACCTGATCGCCGCAAGCCCGTTCTTTCGATGCACCAAACCTACCGTTACGGCTTGGAAGAGAAATTGGGCGACTGAGTGTGGATGCGCACAGGCCGGATTATGTGCAAGGCTCGCCTCTCGCGCCCGGGGGGGGGCTGGCGTGTAGGGTTGTTCCGGCATGGCAGGGGCGGGCGGGCCTGGGGCCCTACACTGTTGGCGCTAACGCACCTCCAAGCCCTTACTCCGTATCTTACGCCCATATTACCTCCTACGTGCATGCCTGGAAACCCTGAGTCGTCAATTCAGGTCGCAAACCGTGGGTCCCTGTTTTACACTCTCCTTAGAATTAAATGACATAGTCCAGCACGTCGTCCAGCGTCTGATCCATGGACTTGCAGGGCTCCATGGTGACGGGGAACCGGCGAATGACGCGCGCGGGGATGCCCACCGCCAGGCTGTGCGCGGGGACGTCTGCGACCACCACGCTCCCCGCCCCCACGCGCGCGCAGTGGCCGACGGTGACGGGCCCCATTACCGAGGCGCCGGCGCCCAGGAGAGCGCCATTGCCGATGACCGGGTGCCGCACGCCCTTGCCCGTGCCCGAGCCGCCGAGGGTGACGCCGTGCGCGAGGCTGACGCCGTCGCCCACGACGCAGGTCTCGCCGATCACCACGCCCGTGCCGTGGTCCAGGAAGACGCCGCGGCCGAGGCGCGCGGCGGGGTGCACGTCCACACCCCAGGCCCCGCTGCCGCGGCTCTGCAGGGCCAGGGCCAGCGGCCGGCGCCCCGCGGCCCACAGCGCGTGGCCCAGGCGGTGGGCCTGCACCGCCTGCCAGCCCTTGGAGTAGAGCAGGCACTGGAGGGGGCCGGGGCAGGCCGGGTCGCGCTCCACGCTGGCCTGCAGGTCGGCCGAGGCGGCCTCCAGCAGCGACGCATCGGCGCCGTACAGCGACGCCGCCAGCAGTGCCAGCTGGGACGCGGGCAGCGTGGCGTCGCCTAGCTTGCCCGCCAGCACCGAAGCCAGGCAGGCGGCGAAGTCAGCATGGCGCAGCACCGAGGCGTGCAGCGCGGGCGCCAGCACCGGTTCCCGCCGGGCCAGGGCGCGAGCTTCTTGCCGCACCTCGTCCCACAGCGCCACCACCGACCGGTGGCCGGGGCCCGGGCTCCACGAGTGCGCGGACAGCGACTCCGTGCTGTCCACCTCGTCGAACGAGGCTGCAGGAGGGTGCATGTCGGGCAGGGGGGGGTTGATGACACGGGATGGCAGGTTGGTATGGAGCCATGCAAAACAGTCACTACCAGGGAAAACGGGCTGCTCCCCTGAGCATGTATGGGCTATGGCCGATCCCAGCATGGCCCCATGTCATCTTGCATTGTTGCGGCTTTGCCCCACCCAGCCCCCCACCACACACACACCCAAACGCACCTCTCTCCGGTCCTCTTCGCAGGACATGATCCCAGAAAGACTCGTTCACCCCACTGCCGTGGGCCAGCTGCTGCTGCTGCCGGATGGAGCGGGCCTCCAGCACCGCGTGGGGCGCCCGGTCGGTCGCCACAGCCTTGGTCGGCACGCCATGCCGTCCATCGGGCAGCGCGACGCTGTTGACGACCGCCACGCAGGACATACGACACTGTGTATGGCTGCTCAGGCTGCCCTGGGGTCCTCGCGCTGCAGCATGAGGGGTGAGCGCCGGTGTGAGAGGGCGCATGAGCCGTACGAAGCCACCACAGGGAGGGGGGGTGACCGGGACACCCAGCATACCTCCACACACACCTGAACGGCTCTGCGACTGAAGTTGGAGCACGTGCTGACTCATGCAGCGGGACCCTGGCGGGCCACTGTGGGAATGCTTCAGGTCAGTCGGGGGGGGGGGTGGTCTCTGGTTGCGGCGCCAAGGACACTAACTTCCTTCGAGCCTCCAATGCCTGGCGAAACACACGCGTTCGATGGGTACTGGTCCGGGTTTTGGTTAATTGAGTGGGAAAGGGTCCCAAGATGCCCCCGAATGTCCGACCGCGTTCGAATAATGGGGCATCTCGGGGTCGGTCGTGTGCGGTTGGGTGATCCATAGCCTCACCTCCGGCTTCACGGTGGGTGCGTTTCGGATTCTTCCTCACCCCCCACCCAGGGACTGGCTCAGCAAGAGTGGAGGTCACCTGTCCACCATTCACACGCCTTTCCATACAACAAAAGCGACCCCCACCCTTGTCGTTCGCTTGGTGCATCCCTGCAGCCCATACAATGCCCGGTGACATCCTTGATCGACCCTGTGTTGCAACACTAAAGAGTTGCTCTCATGCCGCCGCCACCCCCCGGGCTTTACCGCGCGCCTTCGCCCGCTTCTCGTGACGCCTCAGGTTCTTCTGGTGGGCCTTTGGAAGTCCGGCATACTTTGACGCAGGGGTGGGGGCCCCCTCCCGCTCCGCCTTCTTCTTCTTCTTCCGCGGCGGGAGGAGGGACGAGGACATGCCCGCCTTGTCTGGCCGATGCACCCGGGGCGCTGCATACGTGGCGGCACGCAGCTCCTCCGCGCTGGCTGCCGACTGGCTGCTGGGACTGAAGCGGGCCTTGGGCATGCCCTCCGAGGCCCCTTCCCGCACGTCGCCGTGGCGCCAGACCGGCCCCTTCTCCCCATGCCCACTGGAGCCCCGCTTGCGCTTGGCGCCGGCCTGCGCCGCAACCTGCTGCTTCAGGGCGTTCACGGCCCCGTAGTTTGGCCGCACCTTGCGGTGCTCGTCCCTGGGGTGGTAAGTGAGGAGGAGGGGGTTTAGACGTGTGGACCAGTCTGCCATCCAGATGTGAGCCAGGCGAGGTCGAGGCGTCCCAAGCAGACAGCATCGCCACGAAACAGCGCATTCCTCCCTTCCAACCCCAGCCCATGTGCACCTGTAGGGCGCGAGCAGCTTGAGGCCCACCACCTGGTTCAGCTCCTTGTCGGCCATGGCCAGGATCTCGCTGCTGGAAAGGCCGAACGATTGCGCATCCACGCCCTTGTACCTGGAAGGGTGATTTAATAGGAGGGGAGTGCAGGATTGGGGGGGGGCCATTGCCGCACGGGTGGATTGGGTTGCCGGGTGAAAGTGGAGCAGCTGCATCAGCCTCCCACGATGCGATCACCCACATGAGCCCGCGTCGCAGAAGCCACGTGTGGCCAGGGCATCGGCTGTCACTGCAGTGCGCATTCCCTGCGGCCCGCCAAGGCCAGACACACTCCGCCCCGGCTTCCCCCAGCCCCACCTGAAGCGGGTGCGGACCCCGCCCGCCACACCCTCATAGTCCAGCTTGTAGTACTCCTCCAGCAAGCGCTTGACCTCGGCGCGGGCCGCCGCCCCCATCGCCCCCCCCCGCCTCGTCGGCCTCCCATGCGGCCTCGCCCCCGCCCCCCGCTCCCCCGCCCATCGCCTTGTGCAGCGCGGCAAACGTGGTGGCGGAGGTCGGGCGCTGGTCGCTGCCGCCAGCATCATCGTCGTCGGTGCCGGAGCCAAAGGCCAGAGCCTCCAGCTGCTTCTCATACTCAGCCTCCAGTGCCTCGGGATCCTCCTCCTCCGCCTGAGGGTTTGTGTGTGTGAGGGGAGGGCCATGGGAAACACGGGCTCGGGGCGGGCCGGCGGGTAGCCAGGGGTCCAGCGCCACTGTCAGGACCAAGGCGAAGCGTCGATGCAACCCCAACAGGAACGACCCACCCCTTCCCCCATGGGGTGACGGGTCATCCGTCCCCAACCCCTCCCGGCAGGCCCGCGCCGCACCTCGTAAAAGTCTTCGCCGTAGGCGGCTGCCATCTGGCGGTCGTACTCGTCTGGGTCGAACTCGTCGTCAGCCAGAGCCTGGAGCAGCTCCGCCGGCGGCGCCGTCCCGCCGGCCACTGCCTGGATCTCCCTCAGCCTGTCGAGCAGGAGCAAGGGTGTTGGCGGTGCGAGTTCTGGAGCGCGGGCAGTGGAGGTCTGGTCACGGCGCGGGCCAGCACCAGGAGAACGATGGCACACCGTTCCGGCCGCCCCACGCACCTGGCATTCACTTCCTCCTTCTTCAGGTTCTTCAGCCTGCGCATCTCGGCCGCCCTTTCCTCCTCCTGCGCGGCGAGCCGCGCCGCCTTCTCCGCCCTCCGCCGCTTTCTTCGGTCGTCCTCCTTCCTCACCGTGCCCTCGATCTGTGCGGCGTGGGCAGGCGATGGGGAATGAGGGCCGATGGAAAGGCAGCGCACAGGGCATCGCCAGCCAGAGGGCAAGGCTGGTAGACACAGGCGCACTCGTGCAGATGCCAGGCCATGAACCAGGGCGTACCCGCTGCCCGTCCTCCGTCGCCTCTCCCCTCCCCCCGTACCTGTCTCGGATGGGTGACGAGGGTCTCCGACCCCGGATACTCGAACCTGAAGTTGTACTTGTGCTCGTACCGCTCCGCCTGCTGCAGGTACTCCTCCTCCTCTTCATAGTCCGGGCCCGTCCCTGCCTCATCCCCCGAGGACGAGGCCTCGCCGCCCTCGCGGTCCACCCACCCCTTGCTCAGGATGTAGCGCTTGAGGAAGCGGTCCCCCTCGTCCTCCAGCGTCTCGTCTGCCCCAAAGTAGCCGTCCAGCAGGCCCTTGATCCTGTCCTCACCGGCCTCAGCCTGACCGCCGGCATCCCCCCCGGCCTCCGGCCGAGCGACAGGCTTCCGGGCGGCAAAATCCAGCTCCTCGTCGCCGTCGACCTCCGCCACGGCCTGTGGGGTGGAGGAGCAGGTGCAGCGAGTCAAGCTGCTTTGGCAGGGGAGGCCTGGGTGTGCATGCATGGCGAAACGAGTAGGGATACCATGGCTGGGAGCAATGGGCAGGCATGGATCGAACACACTGCGCCAAGCAGATCCATGCCCTGCACCCACCTGCAGGAACGCAGACTTTGCGTCGTGCTGCTCATCCTTGTACGTGTGTGGCGCCTCCTCATCAGTGGAGTCCTGCTCAGGCACGCCCTCCATGGCCTGCAGGGGGGAAGGATGGGGCCGGGCTTCTGCATGGGAAACTGGGCAGTCCTGCATACCAGAGCTCTGCTCGACTGGCGGGCATGCATCGCCCAGCTCAGGCTTGACCAGTACCTGCTTGTATGTGTAGTCTTTAAGCAGCATGGGTTTGTCTGACTTCTGCTTACGACCTGGCGGTGAGGTGAGGGTTTGAGTTGTGGGGGCATTGGCAGTGTTGGGGCATGTGACAAGCTTACGGAGCACACGAGGAGACTCATGACCCGAGCAACGAGGCTGAAGTAGCCCCAAGCAGCAGGCTGACGCTGGACTGTTCCCAGCTATGCATCTACTAGCTACTCAAGGCTGATCAAGCTGGTGTCATGTGCTCAAGGACGCAATCTCAGGTTCAATCGCTGACCGGGGAATAAGGCTCACCTTTTGCATGATCCTCCTGCTCCTCCCCCTCGCTGTCTGGGAAGAACTTGACCGTAGGGTCAAAGACAGCAGGGTCCTTTGCACGGATCTTCTGGAGCACTTCTAGGATACGAGACTCCTTCTCATCAGGGATGAGCCCCTCGTCCTGTGCGAAAAAAGGCGTGATTAGAAGAGGGGGGTTGATATACCTGAGGAGAGCATAGCAAGTCTCTACCTGTGCAGTTCCAATCACTAATACATGTGCGGTTACGCCACCCCTTCTCAGCAGCAATTCTCACCTCCTCCTCGTCCGAGCTGGAGTCTGATAGATCCTCCTGTGGTTGCCCAGTTGCAGCAGCGACCCCTTGTCTCATCATCTGCATATAGATATGTGTATATGTGTGATCTGGCTGCAGGGATCAGGTCATGCCTTCAAAGGGTACTTTATGCTCCTTCCAGAGGTCTGGAACCCCTCCCTCCTGGACTGCAGTGTCTCAGTTGACGGCACAGTTGGGATGATGGTTCACCTGGCGCTCCAGGCGTGCAGCCTGCTCGGGATACTTTTCCTTGAGTCGATGTAGCTCCTCCCGCTTCTTGTTGTGCTGTGGTGGGATGTAAATGGAGGAGCTGGTGTATATGTCGGAGGAGAAGGCTCGCCAAGGCGGCCTGGCACATGCCGTCGTCTCATGAGTCGCTGGACGGGGTCGCAACCCACCTCGAATCTCGACGCATACTGCTTGTTTACTGTAAGTCCCCCAGAGCCTCTGGGCCCCTCCTCATCTTCGAACAGCTGCATGCTGCCACTGTATGCTACCCGCTGCGGTGCCACCCACTGGATAGAAACACCTCAACTACGGCGGTACTCCCATGTACCAGGTTTATAGGGAGAACATATGTGCTCGGGTCATGAGTGACGGTAGACTTGTTAAAGGAAGGTTGTATTTACAAGGACTTCCAGGTTCGCGCGCCCGGAGCTCTCATGGTGTGCCTTATGGCGCGCGATGCGATACTTGAATCGGGCAAAGGCTCCCCAAATACCGAGCAATCTCGAGGCTCAGCACTGTAGACTAATAGGTAATCGTTGGAGCGCAATGCTGGGGGCCGAGGCTCCAGTCGGGGTGGCCGACGAGCCTGCCCGTCTGATTCGCCTTAAGAGGAAGAGAACAGCGGCTAGTGACGATGTTATTGGTGAGTGCAGAGTGCAGTCAAGGACCTCTTGCAACACCTTTAACACCTGCATACTCAGCTTCTCCGACTCGAACAATGCCATGCAGTCGTGGAAGCCATGGAGACGACCAATGGGCTGACAGATCACTTCGGTGGAGTGGGCATCCACGACTCCCAGCAGAGGCAGCGGCGCGATGGCAGCAAGCGCTTTCGCTTCGTGCGACTCAGCAATGTCAATGCTGGAGACCTGTCGTCCCTGACGCGCGAGGGTCTTGCCGAGCTCCTCACCTCTGAGCGGACTGCCCTAGCCGCCGCGGCAGCCGCATCCAGGTGACCTAGCGTGGGGGATGTCTCGCCATGCGTGGTCACCGGCAGCATGACGGAAGGTCTCACTGCAAGTGCTACTTTGCACTTTCAAGACGCCAGGCTGCATCAAGGGCCTCTGTTCAACCGCAGGTGCAACCCTGTGGGAGGGACACGAGAAGAGGCAAGCGAGGCTGGGCCCTTGCCTTCCTTTCCGCCCACCAATCCTGCCCTTCAGCCTGGTCTGGAGCCATGGTACCAGCAGACCAATACACTACAAGGGGCCACCCCTGCCTGGGCAACGGTGCTCGACTTGGTGCGGCACGAAGCAGGCCCAGGCGCCTGGGACCCATCCGCGCAGGTGCCTCACGAGGATCCTGTGGACGAGGATGGGTACGTGATGGATGTGTACGCCGCACTCCCCGCCGCCGCCGAGGACGAGCAGGAAGAGACTGACGCGGCCTGGGAGGCCCACCTCGCCGGGCGGGCCCCCGTCGTCCAGGCGAGTCGGGTAGGGGCGATTGGTGGCCACAGGGGTTGCATCCTCACACATTGCCCCTGGGCTCATGCGTGCCAGCAGCTTGACGCCCACCCCACTCACAGATCATGGACGATGGCACGTGGCTGGTCCACCAGTCCTCGGATCGCGACGACACCAGCCAGGACAGCCAGGACAGCAACGCCGAGGGCCACTTTGCGCACGACTACCCAGGTGGGACAGCAGTGAAGGAGGAGGCTGGCTGGGGGACTGTGTGTGCCAAGATGGGCCAATGCTGGAACTTCACCCGTCTCTTGGTGGTCCTCAGCCCTGCCCCCAGGGGGAACACTGTGCAGTACACTCTCATCACGTCATTGCCTCACTCACATGCCTTCCGCCAGACGAGTATTCGGCGAGCACAGACTCTGGCGACTACGACCCCGACCTGGGGTACTTTCCTCCCACGCGGCACCGCCGACGACACATGGGAAGCAGCAGCGGCAGCAGCAGCGACGAGGATGCATGCAGGACAGGACTGCGCTCCAAAGACGATGGCCGTCGCCACTTCTATTGAGCCATAACTTTCATTTCCCTGGATGAGTGCCAGCAAGGCTTGTGGTGCGATACAATACCTCAACATGAAGACAAGGGGAGTCCAAGGGTGGTATGCAGAGCGGCTGGCAACGCCAGGGGCGATGTCAGGGACGCGAGCCAGTACAGGCAGCCGCCCATTCACGAGCCGCCGCGTCACAGGTTGGACTCGATGAGCGCCCGGTACTCGCGCTTCATCTTGACCCCGGGCTGGTGCAGCACCCGCTCCTTCTGCTTGAAGAACTGGAGCGTGGGCGTGCTGTGCACTCCCGCCGCCTGTGCAATCTCCGAGTCCTCCTCGATGTCGATCTCGACAAAGTTGACCTGTTTGGGGGTTGAAGGCAGACCTTGTGATGGACTTGGTGAACCTGTGCCCAGGCAGTGGCGGTCCGAGGACATCCCCAGGAAAGCGCCCCCGCAGCTGCCTTGCAGGGCGCTCTGGGATGACGCAGGCCTCATTCTCCCTTCCTGATGACCGCCAGGCACACTGAAATCACCTCCCACTTCCCCCACACCTCTGCACACACCTTGCCCTCAAACTCGTCCACCAGCTTGTTCAGGATGGGCTTCACCGTCCGGCAGGGCGCGCAGGAGGGTGCAGAGTAGAGCACCATGACCAGGCCCTGCGACTCGTGGTACAGCTTGCGCAGCGCGTACTGCCCCCGGTGCTTGGTGCTGGCGGGGTCGAAGTCGCCGCGCGGGACCGAGGCGTGCCGCTGCGGCGCGGCGGCCGCATCCCCCGCCGCGGCGCCGGCGTCGGCGCCGGCGCCCAGCGCGTCGCCCTGCAGCGGCCCCGCCTCCACCGCGTCCTCCACGGTGGTCAGGTCCTGCTCCGCCAGCCAGCGCTCGGCTGCCAGCGCGGCGGCGCAGCCCGACCCCGCGGCGGTCACGGCCTGGCGCCACTCCTTGTCGTGCAGGTCCCCCGCAGCGAAGACGCCGGGGACGGAGGTGGCCCCGCCCGCGCCCACCGCCACGTACCCGCCCGCGTCCAGCTCCAGCTGGCCCTCCAGGAAGCCGGAGTTGGGCTGGTGGCCGATGCCGTAGAAGAGGCCACGCGCTGGGATGGTGCGCGCCTCGCCGCCGCCGTCCGCGCCGACCGTGCGCACCCCTGTCAGCAGGCGGCCGTCGCCCTCCACGTCCTCCACCCTGGTGTTGTAGTGCACGGTGACGCGCGGCGCGCGCGCGACGCGCTGCTGCATGGCGCCCGAGGCGCGCAGGCGGGATCCGCGCACCAGCAGGTGCACGTGCGTCCCGTACTTGGTCAGGTACATGGCCTCCTCCACCGCGGTGTCGCCGCCGCCCACCACCACCAGCGGCTGGTTGCGGAACAGGGGGCTGGCGCCGTCGCAGATGGCGCAGGCCGAGATGCCCGCGCTCCAGTAGGTGGACTCGGAGGGGATGCCCAGGCGCTTGGCGGTGGCGCCCGTGGCGATGATCAGGCTGTGCGCGCGCGCGGTGGTGTCGGTGCCGCGCACCGTGAAGGGGCGCGCCCCCAGGTCCACCGACTCCACGTCCTCGGTGACCAGGCGCGCGCCCCAGCGCTCCGCCTGGCGCCGCATCAGGTCCATCAGGTCGGGGCCGGTGATGCCGTCGGGAAAGCCCGGGAAGTTCTCCACCTCGTTGGTGGTCATCAGCTGGCCGCCGGGGGAGCCCCCGGCCTGGTACCCCTCGTACACCAGGGGGCGCAGGTTGGCGCGGGCGGCGTAGATGGCCGCGGTGTAGCCGGCGGGGCCGCTGCCAATGATGATGAGCCGCTCCACCGTGTCGGTGGAGGGCGGGGAGGCCCCGTTCCCGTCCGACGGGGAGGCGCGAGTGGGGGCCCAGGTCCGGCGGGGCCTGGGAGCTTGGTGATCTTGTGATCTGGATCTATCATGTGCGGCGCGTGGCGCCCTGGCATGTCGCGGCACGCTCTTGGCGCTGGGCTGGAAGGGGCGGGGGTGAAGGCGTGACACGGCCCCCGTCATGCCCTGAGCGCTCATCATTTCGCCAGGTGGAGCACCAGTCTACCCGCTCGATCCGAGGTGAAACGCCGTGAAACAGCAGCAAGAGCTGTTTGTGGGTCTTCTCGCAGTCGGCAAAGGCCGCAATGCGCCGGCCAAAATGGGAGATGAGGGGGTGATGCTCGAGCGCGCGCGCGATGGGCGTGTGATGTGCCAAGTGGGTGCACAGTCCCTTGCAGACCCACAAACCCCTCCAAGCCTGTGCACGGCACTCAAAGGCACATAAATACATAAATTTCCTGTTTGGGATTGTGTGCGCAATGACCGGCAAATGCCATGCAGGGGAGTGAAGGGCACCCCACCCCCACGGGTGTCGCACTTCCCATGCTGGCCGGAGTACAGGCACGTAACGAGGATGGGACCCAGCTGCACGCCGCGGACGACTGTATATTGCACACATGCGCATGTGTAACCAGTGCACCTCCTCGCAGGTGTTCATTTCGGAGGGCGCCCGCATCCCCCTGCGACCGGCGCGCAAGAAGCTTTGGGCGGTGAACGTCCCGGCCGCAGGTGGGACCCTCCTGCGCCACCAGGCGGGGGCGACACACATCCTGCTGGGGGATGAGCCCTTCAACAGGATCTGCAAGAAGCTGGAGTCCCAGGCAGGCGTGGCCCCTGCCCTGGTGCACTACAACTGGCTGTCCCAGACGCTGAGGCTGGGGTGCCGCCAGAACGAGGACGACTACGCGCCCCCTGCTTTACTGGCACACAGGGAGTCTGCCGGCTCCACTCCGGTGCCCAGCCTGAGCGTTCACGAGGTTCCCAGAGGCACCACACTGCCAGATGTGCAGAGTCTCATCCTCCACTTGTGTTTGGGATCTCCGGCGCCAAAGAACTTTGCCATCGTGGTGAGGCGGGGAATGGGCCTGGTGGTGGCTTTCGAGGAAAGATGCATTGGGGGGTGATTCCTGTGATGTGATCGAGGGGTGGTCTCAGGCTGCCACACATCGATTGCCTTGTGACTTGGAGGGCTCATGGTCGTCTGTGCTTCCAGGTCGGGGGACTCCCTGGCACCAGTATCATCCGCAGCCCCAGCTCTCGTTTCCCAAACCAAGCACCCTCAACCTCACTCCGATACCCTCCAGGGCGGACCGCCCTCGACGGTGCTGCTGCTGTGCCTGCCCGGCATCGGCTGGGCGCAGCGTGACGCAGTCCTGGAGGCCCTGCAACCGTCCACCCCATTGTCCGTGATGCAGCTGCACTCCGGGGCACGGCTGGAGGTCCCATCGCAGACCCTGGCCAACCTGGTCACCGTCGCCCGCCCCAAGCGTGGGCGTGAGGGAGAGGACGGCCAAGTCTCTGCCCCCGGCCCCCGCCCACTCGAGTTCTACGCCGCCACCGCCCGCCAGATGGCGGCTGCAGGGTATCCGGGGTGCGAGGAAAGCGGGGCCACACATGTCCCGGAGGGCTATGCCTCCACCGCCGACTTCCCGAGTGAGCTGGTCTGGTGGATTCGGGCCTGGGCAGGAGCGTTCAGCACACACCCTTGCCCGCCACCCATCACTTCATCACCCTCCATCGCCCCCCCTCCCCTCCCCCCCCCTCTCTCAGAGCTGCCCGGGCAGGCTTCCCTCGTGGCGGTGGACTGCGAGATGTGCATCACGGCCCGCGGCCTGGAGCTGACGCGCGTGACGCTGCTGCACGGCGACGACGAGCGGGTCCTGCTGGACGAGCTGGTGGTGCCGGACGTCCCCATCCTGGACTACAACACCCAGTACAGCGGTAGGGGTGTGGGGCCTGGCGAGTGGGGCGGACTGGGGTCGGCGGCGGCAGGGGTGGGGGGTTGTGTGGGAGTGCGGCGTGTTCTTTCGGCGGGCCGGCGCGCCCCATGCCGTCCCCGGCATGCACAGCGCCGTGCTGCCCACCTTCACCGTCCGCGTGCGCCCCCGCCGCACCCACCCCCCTCACCGCACCCGCACCGCGCCAGGCATCACGGCGGAGATGCTGGAGGGGGTGACGACGCGCGTGGCGGACGTGTGGCGCGCTCTGCGCCCCCACCTGGGCCCCCAGACCTGGCTGGTGGGACACACACTGGAGAACGACCTGCGTGCGCTGCGGCTGGTGCACGCGCGCTGCCTGGACACGGCGCTGCTCTTCCCACGCCCGCGCGGGCCGGCGCACCGACCCTCCCTCCGCCACCTGGCCAGCCAGCACCTGCGCGCCGCCATCCAGGCCGGCGCGCACGACTCGCGCGAGGACGCGGCGGCCGCGCTGCGCCTGCTGCGCCTCAAGACGGATGCGGGGCCCACGCTGGGCGTGCTGGCGCGCGCCGGCCCCGCCCACGCTCACCTGCTGGATGTGCTGGGTGGGCGGGGGCCGGGCGCGCCGCGCCTGACTCTGGTCGACCGGCCCGAGGTCCTGGCGCTGCACGCTGCGGGCGCTGCGGCGGCGCTCGCCTGCGAGGACGACGACGCGGTGGTGCGGGGGCTGAACCGAGCGCTGGCCTGCGCCGGCGGCGGGGCCGGAGACGGCGGCGGCGCTGACCCAGGGGTGCAGGACGAGGGCGCTGAAGGCAATGCCCAGTCGACTCCGAGAGCGCGAGGTCCTCCACCCCAGCACTTTGTCTTCGCCTCACTCAGCGACGTGGCCGAGCGGCAGGAGCGCGAGGCGCGCGCCCTGGACTTCTCGGACAGGGAGGGCTGCGCCACGGCTTGTGCTGCCGCCGCGGCGGGGGGCGTGGAGCCGCTGGTCCAGGAGACGGCGCGCCGCGTGGCGGCGGTGGTGCGGGCCCTCCCCCCGCAAACCCTCTGCCTGCTCCTGAGTGGGGCGGGGAACACGGTCCTGTGCAGGTGCGGAACTCCTCTTGCCGGAGAGGGGCTGCTGCGCACCCGCGGCTGCGAGAGTGCGATGCGGGCTCGGGGTGTCACTGGCCGGGGTGCAGGCGAGCGACGGGCCTCGTGTGGGTGGACAAAGATGCCCAGCAAAGGCCTGGGATCTTCCTGGGGCCCTGGCGCTGGCCTTCCTCTCATGCTCCTCCCCAAACCTACACCACCCTCGTCCAGGACGCTGTACGGCGACTCGCTGCGGGCCCGCAAGGACTGCCAGGGCGCGGGGCTGACCGCGCAGCGTGCCGCGGCGGCGGCAGACCCGGCCATCGAGCGTCTGGCGGCGACGGCGAGCAGGGGCTTCTGCGCCCTGCTGACCACCCCGAACGCGGAGTGACCCGCGAGGAGGCCCGCGATGGGACCAGCCGCCCTTGGCCCATTCAATACACAGATACCAGCAATCCGTGTCGTATCCCTTGTCTACGCCCGTTGCAATAGCTTCTCCCCCTGCCTGTGCAACAACAGAGTCCGCCAACGGGGCAAAAGGGTCGGGAGTGTGTGGTAAGACGCGGGGCAAGTGGGTATCACGACAGCAGGTTTTATTGGCAGTGCTACATGGGCGTGACTCGGCAAAGGAAGTGGTCGTCCAGCAGCTTGAGCCGGTCAATCTTGAAACTGCCGCGCGCTGTTGGAGCTGCCGGGCCGCCGGCCGCGGCTCGCGGCGATATCCGAGGAGGGTATCCGCTGGAGTAGCCGGGTGTGAACGGCCTCCTCGACCCCGTGCACGCCGGCTATGGGGCTGAGGCTCTCCCTCTCCCCCACCCCGTCACCCCCCAGCAGGCCCGGCCCCCCTGGTGTGCAGCCCGGCACCGGGTAGAACAGCAGGGCTATGCCGCTGATGACCAGCAGTGCCCCCAGCAGCGCCATGGGGGCCCCGTACCCACCCAGGCGCTGGGAGAGAGTGCCGATGAGGTAGGGCCCGGCAAACCCACCCATGGACCCCACAGAGTTGATCAGTGCAAACGCTGCTGCCCCGGCGCTGCCCTTGAGGAAGACGGCCGGCCAGGTGAAGAAGGGGCCTGTGGCGTGGCAGTGGGGAGGCTCAGAGGCAAGGGGATGCGGAAGGGTGCAAGATGGCTTGTGGCGCCAGGGCCTCATTCTGCCCCTCCCAGACGCATCACAAGCGGAGGAAGCCAGAACATTCCAATGCCTCCTGATCCAACAGATCTTGACATATTTTTGACTGCCCAGCGCTGCACGGAACAGGCAGGCGGGTCTGTGCAGGTCGCGCACCACGCATGCTGCCCACATTGTCGCCAGGCCTTTCACAAGGACACCCAAAGCTCACCATGGAAGCTCCACACGGTCCCAGCGGCCATCACCAGGCAGGCAAAGCCGGCTGCCGGCCCCAGGGTGCGGTGCACGGGCAAGGTGGCGGCGAGCAGCACCCCGCCGGCGACCAGAGGTACGGCTGCGTGCAGGCGGCGCTCGTTCCTCACCTCGGCATGCCTGGCATTGGCCAGCGAGCCGAGGGAGGCAGCCACATATGGCATTGTGGTGAGGAGCGCCACGGTGGAAGTGGACGCGACGGCGTGGTGCCCCCCTGCACCAGGGCGGGTTGGGAGGAAGGTGGCTCCGGGACAATCAGATGGAGGAAGTCCATAAGAAGCGGGCTGGGAGGGAGGCGAGGCTGGCTACCAGGAATTGGGCCGAGGCGGTTTCGATCGCCGTGCAGCGCGGCAGCATCCATGCGCATCCCCCGGGCCCCACCTCCACAGCTGGCGCCCTCTTCCTTGGGTGCAGCGGCCGAGCCGGCGTTGAACATGTCGGAGATGAGGAGCGGCGCCCAGAACATGATGCCAAACATGGCGCAGGCGGTGAGCAGCCAGACGCCGGCCAGGTACAGCACCCGCCAGTCCCGTGCCACGTCTGGAAAGGAGGGGCGAGGGGGGAGGATCCCGACCCCATGTGGCCAATAGGTCAGTGCATGGCCAGCTGCTGGGCACGCATGTTTGTCGCGACGAATTTACAGCTGCACGACTGCACACAAGTGCACACTCGTCCTCACCGAGCATGGCTCGCAGCTTGCTGGGATGGGAGGAGCTGGCCTGGGCGCTCGCCGCCTGCCGCGCGTCCAGCCACCCGGCCTCTTCCGGGGTCAGGAAGGAGGCCGACCGCGGGTCACGGGCCAGAAACATGCAAAGGAAGATGGCGAAGAAAAAGGTGGCTCCCCCTGTTGGAATGGTGAAGATTGGTGCGTTGGGCGAATTTATGTCAGAGGGATCATTGAGAGCATCAGGGGGGTAGGTCACACCCTGAGAGTCCCCGCGACAAGGTCACACAGGCACACAGCCTGCCTCAGCTTCCATGGCCTGTCGACAAGGCCTGCTCGCCATGGAGCAGGCCGCCTCCCGCACCAGAGATGCACAAACGCGGCATATGGACGACATCCCTCTCAACGCCCACGCTCCCCCCTCCCCCTCTCCCTGCCAAGCCCACCTCCCAGGAAGAAGAGCCACTGCCAGCCGTGCACGCCCAGGACGCCATTCATGCGCAGGATGCCGGCGGACAGGGGGGCGCCCAGCACCTGGGCGATGCTGGTGCAGATGGAGACCTTGGCGTACGCGCCCCCCATCTCGGCGGGGGAGTAGAAAAGGGAGAGGTGGTACCACATGGTGGGGAAGGCGCTGGACTCCGCCAGGCCCAGCGTGAAGCGTAGGAGGTAGAAGGACAGCGGGCCGCGGATGAGGAAGGCGGAGCCGGCGGTGACCACCCCCCACAGGAGGCACAGGCCAGTGAGCCACACGGGGCTGCCAAAGCGCTGGGGCCCCAGGGTCAGCGGAACCTGGAAGAGGGCGTAGCCCACAAAGAATATGCCTGTACATGTTTTTGATTGAGGGAAGGGATGTGTGGGGGGCAATCCAGCTTGCCCAGTGGCAGGACAGACGTGGGATGGGTCCACGCCTGGCTATTGCAAAGTGGATTCCATTCGTCTGGGCGCACTGGGATAGAGAGGAAGCCAGGCCGTGTACACAGTGTTCTCCTGCGTTTGCCTCATGGCTCGCCTTTGTGGTCATTAAGCCCCATGGCTGGCCAAACTCCTCAATACACCGCTCGACACCCACCAGCGCCGAAGCCATAGGTCGCACAGTCGAACCCCAGGTCATGATTGAGCTGTATGGCACCGAAGCTGAGGGTGGTTCGGTCGAGGTAGCACAGGAGGCCCAGGGAGAACAGCCAGGGTATGACGTGGTTGTTGAGTTTGGACAGTACTCGTCCGCCATGTACCTCCTACGAGGTGGCAAGAGGGACGTATTCAATTCAGCCCTTTCAACGATAATCACCCCCTATTGCTCATGTGCAGCGCCAGCATGCCCACCTTCTCCAGCTGGAGTGTTTGAGCGTCGCCCTGCTCGAACGACCCCATGGCCCCGAGCTGGCGCAGGTCACCGGAGCTCGGACATGGGCAGATATTAACGAAGGGAAATACTGGAATCTTGGTACAACTCGAGCGCTGGGAGCTTGGGAGCTTCTGATCACCGCCTGGTTGGGAGCGCGCTCCTCCGGGGCGCTAAACTCCGATCTCACCCCAGCGTCAAGGCCTGAGTTTCAGCAGCCACGGACAAGCAGACACGGTCGGTCAATCAATCAATCATGTTTCTTGAGGCGAAGAGGTGCATATTATCTTCTCATGAGATTCAGGGGAAAATACATCTACTGGGAAAAGGAGGGGGGAAAACGGTACAGCGGGACAGCACATCCCACAGGTTTCTACTTGGACACCAAACAGCGTAGCTCTTTGGAGGTGGGAGGTGGTACAGGGGACGAGCAGGAACCGGGAACCCTCGGCTAAAATATCAGGGGCCGACGCGCGGCAGGCTCCCTCGCTGCTACTAGCAGCGTCAGCATCGCCGGCGGTGCGGCGGCGGCGACAAAGAATTCGGCAACTGGCGTGGGCGGCCAGGAGGGGGATGGGGCATGGTGCCAGTATCTGTGCACTCCGCCCCCCCTCTACCCCGCCACCTACTGGCCCGGCAGCATGAGGGAGGCCCGGTTCCTCTTCTTGCGCTGGTAGTCCCTCCATCGCCGCGCCGCCCGCGCCAGGCTGGCCGGGCTGGCCTTCTGCCCCCGGCGTGAGGGTCGCCCCGTGGGGTTGGAGGTGACCTCCTCCTCCTCCTCCTCCCCGCTCCCCTCCGTCGACTTCCAGAAGCGGGAGAGGACGCTGCGCTGTGCGGCGCCGCGCAGCTCGGCCTGCCGCTTCTCCCAGGCGCCGCTGGCCTCGTTGAACACGTCGATGTTGGTGCCCTTGCCCCCGCCAGTCAGGATGAGCCAGGCAGCCACCCGCTCCATGCGCGACATGGTCACCTCCAGCAGCGCCAGCTGCCCCTCCGACACCCAGTGGATGCAGGACACGGGGCAGGTGTCTATGGCCTCCTGGACCCGGGGCACTGCGGGGTCACAGCGTGCGCAGCGTGGTTGGGAGGTTGGGTGTGTGTGGGGGGGACATAGTGTTTCACCCACTGCTGCCAGGCTGATGCATGGCACACGAGCCGCATCCGGGAGCACCACGTTGAAACATACCGGCGGCCATCCTCAACCCCGCAACCCACTGAACACCCGCCCTTCCCCCCGCCACCCCCCGCCCTCAAATCAAGAGAGCGATCTGCTCACCGGTGTCCAGGCCCTGGTCGACCACTCGGGCGCGGCCGTACTCGTCCTCCATCTCAAAGGTCCGGGGGGCAGACGTTGTTGCAGTTGCGGCAGCCGATGCACGAGAACTCATCCACGAACACCTGGTCGCGCTCAGCATGCACGTCGCGGAAGGGGTTGGTGCCGCCCAGCTGAACCCCGAGATCGCATCGTACTCTGCCCTCTTCTCCGGGTCCATCAGCGTCTCTGCACCGCCATATGGTTTGTGTGTGGTGGGAGGGACGGGGTGGCATGGCCCAGCACACATGATCACAAACATGCCGAGATTACGCCTCGCTCTTTTTGGGAAAGGAAGTCAAGACAATTGCACTGGTGACATGCCGCAGGCCCTGATTTCTATCATCCAGCCCCAGAGCATCCCCTCCCACCGTAAACATCATTGAGGAAGATCTGAAAGTCGGTGGCCTCCTCGTCCATGGAGATGTCTGGGTGGTGATCCTTGACGATGACGCGGAAGGCACGCTTGATGTCCTTGACAGAGGCCGCGCTGGAGATCCCGAGAACCGAGTAGTAGTCATCCTGAGTCTCGGTGTCGCTGTCCGCCATGCGAACGGCATGCGTGCGCCAGTGCGAGACAGGATGCAACCTGGGCCCTCGCGCACCGGACCTGTGCTGGCTGCACCCAGGGACCCCCCTGTGTCTAAGGCATGCCCCCGGAGCCGCATCCGGGAGCACCACGTTGAAACATACCGGCGGCCATCCTCAACCCCGCAACCCACTGAACCCCCGCCCTTCCCCCCGCACCCCCCCTCCCTCAAATCAAGAGAGCGATCTGCTCACCGGTGTCCAGGCCCTGGTCGACCACTCGGGCGCGGCCGTACTCGTCCTCCATCTCAAAGGTCCGGGGGCAGACGTTGTTGCAGTTGCGGCAGCCGATGCACGAGAACTCATCCACGAACACCTGGTCGCGCTCAGCATGCACGTCGCGGAAGGGATTGGTGCCGCCCAGCTGGAACCCCGAGATCGCATCGTACTCTGCCCTCTTCTCCGGGTCCATCAGCGTCTCTGCACCGCCATATGGTTTGTGTGTGGTGGGAGGGACGGGGTGGCATGGCCCAGCACACATGATCACAAACATGCCGAGGTCACGCCTCGCTCTTTCTGGGAAAGGAAGTCAAGACGATTGCACTGGTGACATGCCGCAGGCCCTGATTTCTATCATCCAGCCCCAGAGCATCCCCTCCCACCGTAAACATCATTGAGGAAGATCTGAAAGTCGGTGGCCTCCTCGTCCATGGAGATGTCTGGGTGGTGATCCTTGACGATGACGCGGAAGGCACGCTTGATGTCCTTGACAGAGGCCGCGCTGGAGATCCCGAGGACCGAGTAGTAGTCATCCTGAGTCTCGGTGTCGCTGTCCGCCATGCGGACGGCATGCGTGCGCCAGTGCGAGACAGGATGCAACTTGGGCCCTCGCGCACCGGACCTGTGCTGGCTGCACCCAGGGACCCCCCTGTGTGCGATCTGGTGCAGCTGAAGTGGGGCTGCACAGCTAGAATCTACGCCATGGACTCCCCTGCTCGGCTGGTGTCGTTGGCAAGGAACACCGGAAAGCGGGGCCATGACGCGCTGGTCGACGGATCTGGAACTCTAGATTTGTACAGGTGATACAGGGTCAGACGGGCGCTGCCATGTGCCGCGAGTTGTATGTTTGATCTGTTAGCGGAGTCCTGTCCTCTGAGGGTACTTTCCAGTTTCCGTGCCCATGCTAGCGCAGCACGCGCAGCGCGGGGCAGAGGACGGATTCAGATTATGATACGACAGGCGCCGATACGGCAGACGCAAAGTTTTGTACAGCTGTGTGAAGCTCTCATGCCCTTGATACGGAGGCGAGTGATGTGTGGATCGTCCTAGACCGTTGCGCCCCCCTCTGCTGAGCGTGGCACCGGACTTGCCACCTCTCTGAAATCGCAGGGATGGATGTCGCTCGCAAAAGCAATGGACCGCCGGCAAACGTCGAAAATGTGGGAAACAACGCTTATCGCGCAGCGCATGCATCGCCCGAGGAACTCGTGAGTGTTTAAAGCTGCGGAGGAGTGCTCTGGCTGGCTCTGAAGGCAAGGCAGGTGTGCATGCCCCTCCCCTCTCCCCGAGACATGCGCCAGTCATGCCCATGCGCCTCCCACAGCTCGACAGCCTGGGATGCAAGCTGGTGACCGATGGACTGGGGACCCCGGCATTCGAAGTGCCTGATGTCCGTTCATTTCGGCGGGGGCTAGACAAGGCCCTCGCCCTCAATGGCACCCTTGCCGCCGCAGTGGCCGAGCATGTCGAGCGTCTGTGCGAGGACGCCGACGTCCTGACGGCAGCGCTGTCGCCCCTGCTCCTGGCCAGAAAGGTACTGGGAGTCAGATCCGGGTGCTTCTCAATGCAAAAAGCTGCCCATGGCGCTCTCCTCGTCCCCGCTTGATGACATTTGCTGGACCACACTGCCTCTTTCTGTGTATTTCCCCCTTGCCACACGCACCTTCCTTCCTCTCCACCCAGGACGCGGTGGACAATGGGGACACCCTGGTGCGCGTCATGCTGAGCACGCTCAGCCTGCAGCCCCTCCTGGCGCCGCCCCTGCTCCAGCAGCTGCCCCAACTCTGCAACAGCCCCGCCGCACACCAGGACCAGTCCCTCCTGCTCCTGGGCCAGCTCAAGTGGCTTGAGAGGGTGGCAGACGCCCGGCTGCTGGCAGACTGCCTCCTCGAGGTGCTGCCCTCCGTGCATGCCGAGGCTGGGGCCGCCATCGCAGGACTCATCCCCGAGATCATCGCCCCCGGCCAGCTTCAGGTGAGGGACTGATGTCGCTGATGTGGATCTTGCAGGGGCGAGGGCACATCACACTTTGACACAGGTCATATTACCATGTGCCCAGGTCTTGCCGCGCGTCCTGGTCCACATTCCAGGCCTGCAAACCGCATGCCTCCTGGCAGCCTTCGCCCCCCTCAGCTTCCCTACCCTCTGCACATGGCCAGGAGGCCGTGGCGGCCCTCCTGGAACCCAGCTGCCCGGCGCCGCTGGCCTCCGTGCTGGGCGCGCTGGGCATGCTGGGACTGAACCCCGACCTCCACCGCACCATAGGCGCGTCCCTCCTCTCGCGCCTGGGGACGGACGCCTCCGAACAGGCGCCCATCCTCAGCTTCCTGCTGACTTCCGCCGCGGAGGACGCGCTGCCGGACGTGCTGGCGAGGCTGGCCACCTCTGTGCGCCTGGGCGGCCAGGGCCAGGTGGGGGCCGGCGGTCCCGACCGGCGGCGTCGCTCCGCGGGCCGCTGCACCAGCCAGGCGGAGGACTCTCCCGACTGTGAGGTTTCGAGGGCGATGCTCCAGGCGCTGCAGTGGCGGGCCGAGCTGCCGGTGGCAGTGCGCAAGCGTCTTGGCGCCCTGGATGGTGAGGTGGCGTGGGGGTGCTGGAGCGGCAGGGTGGGCATGCTGTTACCTGGGAGGCCCTTATCACTGGAGGACCTTGAGGCTGAAGCGGCGCGCCGCGTGCGTGGCTATACCTATGCCAGACACAGCTGGAAAGTACTCATCCAATACATCCTGCGTCTCTTTGATTCCGGCACAGCGATGGCGGGGTTGAGCACCCTGGATGCTTGGTGGGCGATCCTCCTGTGCGCGCTGGGCCAGCCTCACCGGAGACTGGCAGAGGGTGTGCTGCTCAAGTTCATGGCACTGCCAGCGGGTGTGGAGTGGCTGAAGGGGGCGGTCCAGGGGCACAAGGTGAGCCAAGGCCTGTGGCAGAGGGGTGAGGGGAGCCAGATACCTTTCTGGTTGCGATTCGACAGGGCAGCGGTATGCTTTGTGCTTCACCCGGGCTGACCCCTTGTGGGAGGGGTCCACAGGGTTCAGCACGTCACGGATCCCCTGGGCTACTGAGTGCAATGTAATGTAACACTCAGGACGTCCCTCCAGATCCTTCTCCCGCTCTACATCCCCTCCCCAGGCTGCACTGGCCAGCACCTTCCCGGTGCTCCTGAGCATCGTGCAAGCCCTGATGCGGTGCACCAGCCTGTCGTGCACGGCAGGCGTGGACATGATGTGCACGCTGTGCTCGGAGTTTGACGAAGAGGACCAGCAGGAGGTAGGGTTTGGGGGTGAAGTGGGGACCGCGGGAGGTGTCAGGGTGGACCGGGATTGTTGAAGGCATGCGCCAGTGCCCATCCATCACAGCCATTCTGGGGCCTCATCAGTGCACAAGCTGACCAGCGCTGATTTCCGTTCAGGTGCCTGAGTCACTCCGTGGCTCTCCCTCCCCATTCCCGCTCCCCAGGCTCCAGCCCCATCTCCTCAACCCTTTCCCTCACAACCTTCGTCTCCTGCAGGCCCTGCTGGTCGCGCTGCACGCCCACCTGGGCAGCGGCCAGCGCGCGCAGTGCCACGCCGCGCTTTCCACGCTGCAGCACGTCGCGTCCGAGCGGCCCCGGACCCTGTTGCGCCAGGCGGCCTACGCCCGGGGCCTGGTGCGCCTGGCTCTCGACCTGCCCGGCCCCTTACAGCAACGCCTGGCGGAGGTGCTGGGGTCGCTGCTGGCCTGTGAAGCCCCGGAGTGAGCGTCCGAGTGGGGTGGGGTGGGGAGACATGGAAGGGGCAGGGCAAGGGCCCTGGTGGTTGCAGCTGAGCGTCGTGGTCTCATGTGCGTTCTGGTGGTCCAGATCGGGCGACAGGTGAACGGCTGCATGTCTCCACGCATGCAGACTTTCAGGCCCTGCTCTGTCCCGGCAGCTGCCGTGGTTTGGGCCATGCGGCATGTCATGAAATCCTCTTGCCGTATCGCCTTGGGCACTCTCCTGCGACTGGCCCGCTTCCCTCGCCCCCATGCCCACTCACCGCCTGCCTGGACGCCGTTCACCCCCCCACTCACCCCCCGCCACACTCACACGCAGGTCCGAGGCCTTGCTTGCCAGTTTGACGGGCGCGGTGCAGGGGGGCCTGGCCAGCATAGACCCCGAGGAGCAGGCGGGCAGCCTGACTTTGGGCCTGGCCGCCGTGCGGCGGCTGGGCGCCCGGGGCGGGCCGGCCCCCGCGCTGGCTGCGGCCCGCCGCCTGCTGCAGCTGCTGGTGGCCGAGTGCCGCGCCCCCCCGGCCTTCAGCGCCCTGTGCCGGGGCCTGGCGGCCGGCGACCCCGGGCTGGGGGGCATAGACCCCGCCCTGCTGGCCGACGTGGCCGACCTGCTGACGGGGCTCATGGACGGCACCTACGTCGTGGACGCGCCGGCGCCGGGCGGGGCCCCGCCGCAGGCGAGGCTGGGCGGTGGTCCCGTGACGGCTGCCTGCTGGTGGGACCTGGACGGCGGCGCCTCGGGCATCGCCGTGGGCATCCTGCCCCTGCTGTCCCGGGAGCTGGGCTGCGACGCCGGGCGCAGCCACGGGTGGGTGTGCACGAGGCGATGGTGCCTCCTGAGGGCGCGCGGGAGGCTGGTGGTCTGGTGTCTGGAGAGTGGAGTGGGGCAGGGTGGGGCCTCGGTCTCGAAGAACCTGGCACGGGAACGGCATGGGTCTCCTGGCCCATACATGCAGCGTCGGCGGTGCTTCATGAGCCTCGGTCACGGCGCACATGGCAGACCCGC